TCTCAACTTGCTTAGATATGTCCATCGAAATCGGGGTTTCCCTGCGTCTGGTTGATATTGAGTTGCTGGAACATATTTGGGTTGAGTGACTGGTGCTGCATGATTGATCTGTTAGCTTCTCCCCGGTATTGGGCCAGCTCATTTGTTAACTCACTTATCCTTGCATTTTTTTGAACATGCAAGTCTGCAATAAGAGAGCATATATGGAGTTTTTTTGTTTTTTTTAAAAAAAGGCGGTGCAAGCGCGATCTTTACATAAAAATTAAAATGACGTACCTTGATGAAGCTCCACCTGTTTCTCTAGTCCGTCATGACGAATCTTCACTTCTTTTAACTCGTTCTCCACCGCAATGAGATCGCTCTGCATGCAAAAAGAATACAAACTCCTTACACACGAACGTAGTATTTTTGAGAATTTCCCAAAATAGATATGTATATTTATGTCTCACCCGTAACTGATTGTACATAGCTCTGATTGTAGTATTCTCGGCCCTAAGATCCTGTACTTGGTCTTCCAACTCTACTATGTACTTCTCCTTCTTCTTCTGTGAACGTGCAGCTGACTCTCGGTTTGCCAACATTCTAAAAGAGGATCACATAGATAAATAAATATATATGTCACATGAAGGAAAAGTATTTTAGTCACTGCTTTACATACCTTCTAGCCTTATAAGGACAAGTTGCAGCCAACTCTGTGAGTTTCTTATCGCCCTTAATCTTATCCATTTCAGCTGCAGTAAGATTACCCGCTGAAGCACTCTTCGTCAATCGGCTGCTTGAGGAAGGAGCAATTCCTTTGCCTGCTCTTCTCTTCACACCCGAATTAGTCGATCCAACACCCATATTCTCATTATCGAGATCCAACGACTGCTCCATATCATCCGTATAAACTTGGCTTTCTCTATGAGACCCAAAAGCAATACCATCAGTAGTGTTGCGCCGTTTATGAGCGTTTCCAGACGGAAGCAATGATGGGTCATAATCAGACAATGGTGCTGATGGGTGAAATGACGGGAACAACGCCGAGGAAGGGCTCCTCGGAGGCAAGGAGGAGGAATAGATAGGCGATGGCTGAGACATGGACGACGGGATGTTTGGTCCGGGGCTGAAATTCTGCAACTCGAGTTGTTGTTGGATCGTTGAGATTCTGGAGTAGGGTGAAATGCGTGGGTGTGAGCTCCCGCTAGACGGTGTCACGACGGTTCTCCGGCCAGTATCGCCGCCGTCGTCTTCATTCGAGGATTGAGTGTAGCCCGGGACGATTAAACTAGGAAGATCCACGTTTTTCATCGTTAGGAGGAAATATTG